TTAACTTCTAGACGGTTCATTTGTTTTCAGCGGTGATTATTCAGGTCTATTCTAAGTAAGTGGCTTCGTATGGTTTCACTGTCTTCATTGGAACAGAAATAATAGAGCTGCCAATTAGCGGCTATGTTAATTGTGAACGATTCATAAAATTTTAATGTTTCAAAGTGCACTGTGTAAAAACGTTTCAATGGAAACACTAATAAATAAGCCATTATGTTCATAGTAAACAGAAGTTTTAAATAAGTGTTTTTAAATCAAAATCAAGGTATGCATTCAAAAGTTAATTAGTTTTAAGTGCACTTTCACCTAAAATGTATGATTTTAACCCAAAATCCACACCACTTAATATGGTATCAGAGTACATTATTATAAACCATAAAACTCAAAAGTTTAAATTAAGCTATTTCAAATGATATATAACTTAATGGGTAATGGTTATATATTACTCGTGTAATTACAGTAATTAGAGCCAATTAGAAATATAGTCTCCCAACCTGCATCTCTACCTTAACATGTAAAATAACAATTAAATTGTAAAACTTGTGGTTTTTTTGACAAATGCCTGAATTTAAACACGGTGAATATCCTCAAAACATCAAAATAGTGAAAATAAATGGTTTTACAGTATGCTTATTTTCCAATTACAAGTATTTACATAGAACACATTTGACCATTTGACATTACAACACATTTGACCACTGGAAAGTTGATGTTCAATTATATTGACTATAGCAAATGAATGAATTTGATTGGCTGGTAGGGCTATTAATGTTATTGTTTGCGGTTGGTGAACAATGCTCACTGAGTGTCAGCAAATCTGTAATATCTACTACTAGTGATTGGAATTATTATTTTGCATTTTATAACAAGCTGCTTTGCTGAACTAACAATAACAATATCCAGGTGTTTCTCAATTCAATTTTCTTGTTGACATTGTAATATTAACTCATATAATTCATATCGAAATTATTGTGACTTTTATTATTTTGGTGGACTAGATATAATTAGTCATCTGACACATTTCAGTAAGTGATACAGTGTTTACAAATATGATGTGCACACACATATTATTTTACTAACCAATTATTGAGCTGCAATATTAAAGGGCGGTAGTCGTCGCGCCGCGCATGTGCGACAATTGTGTTGACAGACATTGATTTTCCCACAATCCAATGCGCTCTTCTAATGGAAATCACAAATATGAGATTTGACAACTTGCACTAATTACTGACGACAACTCCTTTGATACCTTCCAAACACAACAAAAAAATACCTAATTAACGCTTAGTAACGTCCCAGTGTGTACTAGTTGGTGTGCGCCACAGTCAAAATCACCATATTTGTTTATAAGACCAATATCTCGCGCATGCGTGGCGCGACGACTATCGCCCTTCAGCATTGTCTACTTCCCAGCTTGTATATGGTACTTATTGTTCTGATACATTTACCTGAATTCCTTTTCTATTCAGTATATTTATTATTATTGTGCTGGGTGAATTATTAGCCTAATAGTGGCAAACTACGCAATGCGACTTCAATACTTGGTAGCCATATATTTATATTGTATATGCTACAATCCCAATTATCTTATCGAATTTGTGACTTTTTATACAGCCCGTATCTGATGACTAAACTAGCATCAAGCCCATTGAAGGCTATAATTAAAGGTAAGACCAGATCTGTAGTAGTAGGACATTGAGGTGCCCTCCCACTGTGTTGTGCATTTACCTACAATGTAGTTTCATGTCATTTGCATTCAAGTTAATAGCAGGGAAATTATGGCCAGTAACACCCAGATTTGACTCTTATAACTGCAGAAGACAGCATATTCTGTCGCTGATTACTTGGCAGGTTTATAACAAAGTTGTATGGGTATATCTCATGAGTGCAATAGGAATAACAGAGCTATTGAGTGTTGGCCATTGTTACTAGTGATCAATCTATGTTTCTGCTCAAAATAACATGCATATACATACTCATGCTTTTGATGTACATTTTTTAGATGTAACTTGTTATTTATTTTATTCCCCTGTTTCACGAGCGCTTCTCACTCCTTCACTTTCATAAATACTCTAGAGATAATACTAATGTGTTTTGTACATTCTTGACATCCACAAAGACACACTATACATTATTCATCATATATCTCACCATATATATTGTTTACAGGAGATACAAATAGCTTGATCGAAAACCTTCCGCCTTGCAATGCTGAGTTTCCTGTTAGTATTTCTGATGGTTTCTGGATTAATGGAAGTATATGGCAATCGCTCGTTTGTAAAAGCAGGCATTTTACAATGGAAGAAGCACTTGATTGTCTGCGTGGGAAAGATGTGTACTTTTTTGGTGATTCAACTCTTCGATTATGGCATGACTCCTTTATTAATGTCGGAGATATGAATATGACAGTGTCTAGAGATGGTGCACATCGTCTATTGACCAGTCATGATTATAATTTAACAATTTTGTTCCAATTCCATGCAATTAGGATTGGTTCAAGTAATGGCGATTTTAAAAATCAACGATTTGAATCTGGTGTGATTGACAGCCTACGTTCATGTTACGTCGTAGTCGTCTTGAGTTTAACTTATCACTTTGGCCCGTGGACAACAAAGTCATTCACAGAACGACTTCTCCATACACGAAATGCCGTTGAGCGGTTACTGTCTAGATGCCCTGGAACTATAGTTGTCATCAAGAGTTCCCATCCTAGAGATCACAATTCACGGGAGGGCTACGTTCACAGTAGTGACTGGACATTATTTGAGATGAATTCTATTACGCGAAAACTGTTCACTGGTATTGGTGTGCGATTTCTTGATGTCTATGACATGTCACTTTCACATTATACGAACAACCATGTTCATATGCAGGCGATAGTACCGCAACAAGTTGATTTGTTTCTTTCATATGTATGTCCATATTAATGGGTAAAGAATGGAGTTTATTAACACAACCACATTCATTAAAAGTAATATCTTGTGTTATTAGGTGTATTCAAAATTTCCCACAGTTTATATGTAGTTGCATATGATGCATTTTATTCATGAAAATACGACATGGAGGCAGAGTGGATTGAGGTGGATGTGACTTATATTGACTTTTATTTGATGAAATGTACAATACCATTCAATAAACATATTTTACAATTAAACTCGACCAAGTGTGAAAAATCTTTGTTGATTTGCCAGGAATAGCGCATTTTGTCATTGTTTTGTTTTATGATATTTGATTTGTCAGTTCCAAACATTGAATACCACTCTCATCTCTCCTGAGTTTTGTGTTTGCAGTGCATTTTACCACAGACTACATGACAGGACTATGTGAACATTTTTCCATTGAAATAAAATAATGGCAATTTGCAGTCTAAAGTCGCGACCATTAGTGATACCATCATACCTTGGATGTAGAAAAGAGAAGGTTTAGCCTGTGTTAATTCTATAAACATCTTTTGTCTTCGCTCTGGTTAGGCCACTTATCGTTTTTATTTAGAAGTCGTTTTATCTACATGATGATAGCCGCTTATTTACACCATAGACCTTAAGGTCTATGTCTACACAAGAAAACGAGAGTAGAACTGAAAAAATAAATTCCGTTTAAACATCGTCTATAAAATTAAATGCGCGAAACGTAAATAAAAGAATTGTGCATTATCGGATCACAAAGGTCATTTCACAATTGTAGGTACCGGAAATTCTCTCTACGGACGCTTCAAGATGAGCGATTACTTCTTTCCTGACATTCTTCATCGCAAAAGTCGTCTAAATTTAGACATTAATAAAAAAAAAATCTGCAAATATTCGCAGCGAAATTTAAAAATACATGATAAGTTTATAACAAGATGTTTTGACGGGGTAGTTTTCATCGGTGGGGCATTAAGTACACTCAGCGTACGTCTTTCGCTGTATTCTGTATTATTGTTGACTGTTTGAGCATGCGCAGTGCGAAACACATAAGCCGATTAACGGTGACATTGTACAGCGTGTTTGCCAACTAATTAAAATGTGTAACAACTCCAAAGCATCATGAAACCAGCGGAAACAATAACGTCCTCACTCCTTCTCTTTACTACCTCCATGGCCATACTTACCTAAGGGTCTGCAGTCTTTCTTTGGCGTTCAACTGAACTCTGATATACTGATTATTGATGATATGCAACAATCGCCATGCTATTGTTCTCAATAATGCTGGTTAAACACACATTAGAACTAAATAAATAACTGACAATTTAAATTTCTTTTAACACTGATTAAAATGATTGCTAATAATTAGTATACAGGTAGTTGCAGTATTAAAAAAACCCATTGTGTTATATGATGAGTGTCGATTAAGATATTGACAAGTCACTCAGTTCTATATCACCAATATATCGTTTTATTCACTCTTCACTGTGTTCAACTTATTCACATGAATCACGATAAATCAGTCATGTGGTCCTTAATCACAGTTCACATTGGCAATCACAATCACGTAAAACTGTGAAGCAAAATAAAACAATAACAATCTTAAGTACACAAATACAATAACATATTATTCTGAATGAGATAGTGCGGTAAAACGCCATCAACGTCTAATACAAGTGTGAACGAATTGGGGTCATAGGTCAGACCAACACAACACGACCATTTTATACCACTCGGGTTCACGATCAGAAAACTCTCGATTTCTCTTGCAAAAGACTTCAAAATTACACAAAATCATATCGACTGAAATCGGTGTATGTTCAAAAAACTATAAAATCATACCTCGTTTCCGGGTCACAGCTAATAGTCATGAAAAACTAGAGAAAGTGGACGCACATTGCAACTGCGTCATAACTATTTAATCTTCGCTGGAGACCTTCAACCCCAGAGGGCGCTATGCACCAGAAGGTAAAACAGCACTTAAACAGCGCCAAAGCGCAAAACAAATAGACATCACTCCGCAGGAGTTACACTCATATATATCCCTTTTATAATCCACAGATAAAATTATATTAAAACTTCTGTCACCTAATACTGCTTGATGCACTCACCATCCTTTGAAGGGCGGTGACCTTTGCGACTATGAGCATCAGTCAGGTGAGAGGGCAAGGAAGGAACTGCACTGTCAGGCAAGCAGGTTGAATCAACATGAGAATCCATCCATGTATAAATATACGCTTCACAAATATCGGTAAATTTGTTATTACATCATTGGTTAGTCAATTTATAACATTACAGGTTAAAATCATATTAAATCGGTTTTATTATCAGTTAATTATTATACAATTGCATGTGACTGCTTTTAACAACAAAACACAATATTGTTGTAGAACATTGCAAATCTATGTTTGAAGAAATACAAGTATACTTATATTATATCAAATAATAATGCCATATCAATATGCTAAAATAATTGTTAGCATTTGTAGTGTTCACACTGAAGTTTTTCAGTACGACTTCAGTTTTGGGTTAAATGTTGATACTGGATCATCACGATATATTGTAAACTAAAAATATTTTGCAACATAAAATGATATTATTCATTTGACAAAATGAACATGTGAATACGCATCGGATGAGATGATGAATTGTTTGTGTTCTAAACATGACCATGCCCATATATTAATAAGCACACCTACTTTTGCAAAACCAAGCAAAAATTATAAATCTATGTTCAATTAACAGTTAACCAAACTTTGAGTTACGGGCAACATAAATTATGTTTCGAGTTATTAATTGTGGACGTTCAACACAAAACAAATAAAAATATATTGTCCGTAACTCGAAGTTTTGTTAACTATTAATTGAACATCGAGTTACAAGTCGAGCGTGGCTCAAAATTTGGCAGCGTTTCTATAATACGGGCGCGTGTAACTCAATGTTTTCGTAACTTGATGTCCTCAAACCATTCATCATCTCGCGGTGGAATAGTAGTGCGTATCAATAATTCAAATCGCATATGATTTGTATAGTTAATTATTGCATCACACGAATGTTATTTTGTACACAATCAAAACAAAGTGTACAAGAATAAAACACACCTGAATATATGTCAATATGCAGTTACAGGTGACCACAAATAGGCTTATGACAGTAAATACAAATTTAAAGTTGGGGAGTCGTCACCTGCGCATGCGTCAGATGGCCATGGCGTGTCAAACAAACATCTACCCATGAGCCTTTGCGCTTTTAGCGTGTGTTATCTTCGCTTGGGACTCACTTCCTGCGCTGCGCGGGTGACGACCCTCCCGCTCTAACCATCTGTAAAAGCTTTCATGAAACCAACTACGGTAGCCCGACTGTTTTGCTGGACAAAAAATCCTTGACTAACTAAAAAAATAACGACCTTACTCACAAAGTGGGAGCATGTAGGCATTATAATAGTTTGTTTATGAGTTCAAACAGTACGTACAGTAAATCAAGGTGCCTCACCAGGGTGAGCGAATAAAATTCACGCTGGCATGCAAACAATAAAATGATATGTATTAGAAACACCACAAGAAAGTGTGGCTTTACTGATACAAACCCACAGTTTTTTTTTTCTTGAGTAAAGTGTTTGGAAATTATACAATGAAACAAAAATTGTTAGCATTCTGTTGCATTGAAGTGCACAGTCCTGAACGCAAGATAATTTATATTATTACAAAATATGTATTGTACGTTTAGTCATATGCTCATAAATAATTCAAATCATGTCACTTGACAGTCAAATGACCTCTCTAATACCTGTTTTTGTTCAATGGCATCAGCCAGAAACTGCAATAGCCCAGTCTTTAGAAGCTTTACCTTCTGTGGTTGATGTTTTGAGTCAAACCCTTTCCTTGACCAACATTGATGTCACATTAGTTCCGATAACCAACACTTTCTAGTGGTATTTTGATTTATAAACATGCAGGTAGAACAGTGACATGTCACATGACAAATAAGCAGCTGCTCGGCTGATATAGATCTGCTGTTAACAATGCACATTTCAATTAAAGAGCTGAAGATATCATTAGAAAATGAAGAAATCTGAGAGAGGTCTACGCAAGATGTATAGCGTCAAAGCAGTCGACTTTCTGTTTTCAACAAGAATTCAAAAATATCACTTTTTACCACAAATTACAATAATATTCATCAAAGTTAGATAATTGAATATATCATCATGAAATGAACAAATCTGATATAGGTCCACTTGTAATGCATATGTGCATAATATCAAAGTAATTAACCTTGCGGTTTTCAACAAAAAGTCCAAAGTATCACTTTTTACCAAAAAAATGAGAAATGAGAAAGCTTAAGAGGGTTCTGCCCAAGGTACATATACAGTCGTGACAGTAAAAAGTTTACACATATGACGACGGAAAGTCACTCATATGATAAGATCTGGTCGACAACGGAGCTACAAAATGGAATAAGATATACATAAAATGCAGTATCTTGTGGAAGAGGGCTTGCACACATAGTAAAATGTTTGGTAAAATAGTTGATTTTGTAATTCTAAATAAAAAGTTGAATTTACAGTTTTGTGTACAAATTCAAATGTCTCCTAACCTTTTTTCAACAAATTGAAAACATAAATTGTCAAAATATACTGTTTAGAGACTCACATATTGCATACATACAAACATGAAAAAAGTGAGTCATGCAATTTCTTTGAGTCAACTACTCAAGATTGAATATTTTGTGAAGCGAACCATCTGTGAGGTCTTTAAGCACTGGTACATAGTGTTTCACAAGCTCATGCCTAGTCGTAGAATGCAGTGAGCTCATAAGATTGTGACTGCGAATAAAAAAATGACGCAATTCTCCTCTTCGAATTTTGTTTACAATATACTCCAGCAACTGTACAATCCTCTCATGAAGGTGTTCCTTTGTCCAATCCTCTGAGTTTGGCATTCTTAAACATTCATGTAGAAATGCTGTCTTTAGAAAATAAGAAGGAACTGAATCGTGATATCGTTTGTTTATCTTTTTCAAAAGGT